TGCCCAAATAAACTCATRTTCTTTGGTAAACTTCACATGACGTATTTATAGTTCATTATTTTTAATTAAAGTCTTTGTTTCATCAATGWCACGTAAAATATTCCTGTCAATCAAATTTGCGCGTTCTGGAAATGAGTTCCTTGCTATTTCCTAGCACGATGTCACATACCCTCACCGTATATCAATCCGCATCGACCGGCCGGTCACATAAGAAATTTACGATTTCGGAAAGTCTGTTCAATCGGAGACGAAATGCTTTACCCTCAATATAACACTTGCAGTCTCGAAAGCAGCTTGGAGTAAAGTCACTTTAGCTAAGTGTAAATCAAGAATGTTGWCTTGGAAACACATTTCGCCGCCAATCACTGAGGAGTGTTCTTTCACGTGATAGCAGTCATCGTTACCCAACATGCACCAGTTTTCACAGTGATCACGTGACACAAGTCCACAAATGCATGATGGGATAGCTGAATAACTTGGCTGATCCCCCGGGGCAAGTATCCAGTGGTGATGATTGGCTGAATCAACCACGTGGTCGCCTCCATCGTGATCAAGGCACCTGGCAACAGCTTCCAAGCAACTCGCGACGCTGTCCATAATGATGATRTATTGTGCTTTGAGAGAAAGAGAAATAGAGGGGACTATCAAACTACCAAACCAACCAAATTAATAACTTTCTGACTAAAATGCCTTTATGATGAATATCTCCCGTCTCGCTCCGCCCCAATCCMTTTCGAGAGAGCTTGATACTCWTCGCGCCTTGCCGAACGRKCAAGGCTAGCAYCTAGATCTCGCAACCCGGCACGGATAACTCGCTCAAGTCATGTCACTTAACTWGCTGAGACTATATTAATCCGGATTTGTTCACTTGGTCTTCCTTCTTACCAGTTATGTTTTTACATCCTCGGCCAGGGATAATCTTACCCCTGGGTTCCCGAGAATGGGGTTTTTAATRAGCCGGGTTGGATGCCGAGCCTCACGGGAGAGCAGATTACGAAGACTGAAGGTTGTAAAATATATAATCTTCGTAGCAGCTCTAGGGGAGTTGGAGGAAGGAGGAAAACGAAAGTAGAGGTGGGGCGAAGCGGGAGGGAAAAACAAGAAGCTATAGAATATATAAAACGTTTGCGCAAAACGTATATTTTCAATAGGTGAGCATTGCCTCGAAGCAGGGAAAGAATTCCTTTTCTTGCAGCGTTACTAATAAACTATAGATCAATTTATCCACATGTTCAACTTTTTKGGGAAGACTGTTGTACTCAATATAGCCATGCATTAATTTTCTCTGCAATTCGCGTCGCAGTCACGGCGTAGAAAATTGCACAATAATGTAAAGGCGGGCGTAATTTGCTATAGTCTCTGATGTTAATGTTGCTATTGTTACGCATAACGTTAACGTTGTGCAAAGTAGAGCTCAGGTCTACTTTTCGCAACGTATTTCAGTAAAGCATGGAAACTATATTGGCAATTTTGAGGAAACTACTCCAAAACTGTAATKCAATTGGGTTCACCATTGCGAGACYTGTTGCTTTTAAAATTAAAATTTCTAAATTTTACGGTATCTTCAGTTTATTCAACTTTACCTCTTGTGCAACCCAATCTTTCCAAACAGGAATCATCAGAGATTCGGGCAGTGGATCGTACGAACCAAGCTAGATGGGTGTCGAGACACCCACCTCCAGGAACCACGTATGGACTGGACACGATACCCTGTAGAATACTTATAACAGACTGGCATACTATCTTGAGCTCGTTCACGCAGGTTTCGTCAGGTGCGCAAAGAATCATGGTAGTCACAGGACAAGATGGCGGTGGTGAATTTGCTGGTTGTTGATTCTGGTTTTGTGACGGTGACGACGGTTGTCTTAGTGACGGGTTGGGTGAAGATTGCGGAGATAATGGTGTTGGTGGTTGTGATCGCAATGAATGTCGGGACATTGGTGATGATGGGTCACGTGATGAAGACGCTGCCCGTGGTGATGACGATGATGATGATGAAAATGTTGGTAAATGCGTTTGAAGAGATGGCAATGACGGTAGCTGTACTGGTTGTGATAGCGATGATGGTGTTACTGGTTTGAGTGACTGTGATGATGGAGAATTCAATGTTAGTTCTGTAGGTGACGGCGAATGCTTCAACACTGATTCTGATTTCGACGATTGAGACGACAAAAACACCCTAGTGTCTGGCAAAAGGTGGAGGTAACTGCGAAAAGAAACCACKGTATAAGAAACCAAACTTAAAAATAGCATGCATATGTGTATAGAATGTTGACATGTAAACAATTCATCTYTTAATGTCGAGAATTAAAAAAATAAATGCCCGCATCGTTCCTGGATTTCGGATTACGTGAAAAATTTCGTACGAATTCTGGAATCCACAATATTGTATTCAGAAACAAAAGCATCCTAGCTTAGAAAACATTTGAATTAAGTAATTTAAATTCCAGAAGATTCCTCATATTTTGTCAGGTCCGTTTCCATTGCCGTAAGTGTCCAAGTGTCTGTATTCCGGATTCCTGCACAAAAATTTGTCGGATTCCAGGTTCCGGACTCCTTGTCAGGGGAGCGACCTGTTGTACGTGTGACGTCATGTACTGGGAGTCGAGAGTGCGATTGGAGTACTAAGTAAAAGTACGGTTGGAAACCCACAAATCGATAGAGTACGTATGGCGGATAAATCTACCAATGTCTCAAAAAACCTTTTAATTTACCTTTTATTATTGATAACAGTATGCTCAATACTACCAACACGACCAAACCATCTACTAGGGATTTCGCTGGTAAATGTACTCAAGATCGTAGCTCCTGTCAGTCTCTGAACAGAACCAATATGTAACACAGATAGACGATCCATGACGTATATGCCCTGAAATAACGGAATGAAGAACATGTTTTATCCTAAATGAAGCAGCCAGGGCCTGCTTCATTATTTCATAGTTAGTAGATTTCCCACAACTATTAGTTAAACTATGGTTATTTTGAAGGCAGGCTTACCAAATAATGTCTGCTCAATAGAATGAATAATATTTCCTCAAAGAAAATAAAATAAGCCTATTAAGTGAATTTGTTTGTTTACGGTAAGAACTTTCAAATTATTGTTTTTTGAGGTTCTCGCGCGCTTTACGTCTTACTGTACCGTACGCCATCTTGGAATTTGTCACGTGATCTGGTATGTTGTTTCTAGAGACTTTTCTGATGAGATTCGAACGCCTGGTCATTTCTTAGCCCACGAAGCGATTTTTGAGCAAAAAAAAAAAAAACAGTGAAGAACCCAAAAAAAACATTAGTAAAATTCATCTTTGAAAATTCATATAAAATGGGAAAAAATCACGAATTATGCGGGATTATGCGCGATTTGGTAAATTATGCGAAAAGGGAACAAATAATACAACATGCCTGACTTGCGCTTGTTTTCTATTGTGTAATCACCAATCTATTTAGTACTAATTAGTATGCTATATTTGTTTCACAGATTTAGACTTGTCCAATCTAATTGTAGCAATCAGCATTATGATTATATTAATGACATCATCATCATGATTTATAACTTACTGTTACTAACTAAAATAAAGATATATAAAGTTGTCGTGATAGTAATAATCTAGTAATAAAAGGTATGATTATATTTTGTCAGAAACATATAAGGGACTTGAAACGTTTAGAGCCTGTACAATAGGCCATTTGCAGCAATTCGTCACGTGACAAATGACCCCATAGCAACAAGGCCGTGGTGGGCAAGCAAAACCAACACACCGTGACAACAATAAGACTTTGACTGGAGAAGCGTTCAATACCAAGACTATAACATCTGTTTTTATCCTTTATTGTGAGTTTTTTGAAACGATTTTTGGTTCAAAACTAGGGCAAAGTGTCTTCGTTCTTTTCCAATAAGTTTTTCTGCGATCGCTATATGTAAAGAAGAGTTTTGGACCTTTAAGCTGTTCGACGCCGAGGAAAACACTAGCGCGTAATGGCGGAAATCTCAGGTATGTTTATGGTTCTTTGACTCACAATCTTGCCTCGCTATTAGTCTCATTTATCAAGATTTGTGTAGAATAGATAAAGATACTTCCATTGAGACAATTTAAAGCCTAAAGACTCATTCTTTACTTGTATTTTTGACCATTTGGGTTAGGGTTGTATCGAGAATCGCCAGTACATAATGGCACACAACAGTGCAGACGGGATGCACGTTTTGTTGTTTTCGAGGCTGATTTAGTACCAATCGTCGAAAGATTCAAAGCTCATTAAAAATTCGAAAACGAACGTTATGAAACATATTTGGAAAATTTTGCCGTTGGATAAGAGTTTTTTAAAAAGCCCGTTCTGGTTGGCTAGGATAAATTGAATTGTTCCAAATAAGGAAATGAGATGCAAATGGGATTTGAATATTCCACCAATGGGACGACGCTACACGTTTCAAGTCCCTTATTTGTTCAAATATTAATGAAAATCAAACCTTTTCTCTGAAAAATGTTTTCAAAGCAGGATGAATAACTTTTTGACAAGCAACAAGACCAACACCTTCTTTCACAAGCATCAAAGCCACGCCCTTTATCAACTCTAATACGCCCTTGCTTAAATCATCTTGTGGTAAACCAACCATAGCAACCGGCGTCACTCCTTCAATCCATTCATCAGTATCTCCTGCCATGGAAACATTGTAGAGAGCCACCTTAAGATTTCTCACTGCAGTGTTAAGATTGTATGTTGGCAGTTCTGGGGCTTCAATTAGGACACCATTGATGATCTTTGTATGAGAGACAGGACGTCCTTCGCAAGTAAGAAACTGAATTGGCTTCAAAGATTGTGTACGGTATGAGTCATGAGGGGATGGCACTGACTGAAGAAAAGCCTGAAATTGTGACAATGATGATATAAATATTAATAAAACTATAGCCATGAAACCTTTTATCAGTAATACACTTTAGGCAAAATGATTTCATTTTTTCATTCTTGTACCCAGACCCTACTCTTACGGCCTTTAGCGGCTAAAGGCCGTAAGAGTAGGGTCTGGATACGAGAATGTCATTTTTTTAGGAAAAGGAGGGTGGGAAACTGGGAACAAAAAAGAGTGAAAAACAAGAAACCTGGAAACTAATTATAATAAGATCACATTGCATTGACCTCCTTCAATGGATACTACTTTCTGTCTGCCCCAATCTTCCCTGACGAGATGTCATACTCCCTGGGTTTCCCAGGATGTACTTTGACAGACTGGTTATAGCTAGGCTTGCTCCAAGTCTCTCTCACTATTTACTTTTTTTCCTTTTTTTCATTTACTTTTTTACTTATATTTTACTTTTTTTTTATTTACTTTTTTTTCACTATTTACTTCTTTT